TCAAATCTGTGGGGAGCTGATTGTATTTTCCATCTCTTGGCACACAAAAGTACAAAAAGCTGGCTGTAATATTCTAATTGTCTGAGGGACTGAAATTTTAAAATTGTATTATTTGTAAACCAAAATAATCAAAATTACAAAAAATGAAGGAATTTTCACACTGTTAATGAATCCAATGAGTTTCACATTCTGAACCGATGCGCACACACACACACACACACACACACACACACACACACACACACACACACACAAAACTTTTTCACGATATTCCATTTTAGATGCGTCTGTACGTGTATACTTTTATTTTTTTATTGACAAATGCTCTGTCACTACTCAACTCATTAAAGCTTGTCTTCTCTTAAATTTACATTTATAAAAGAATATTAGACATGTGACCTGTTGAGGATATTTGTTTTAGACCAGCAGTCCTTTTTTTCAGGGATTTTAAGTTTTATTTTTATTTTTAAAAAATTATGTATTTATAACTCCTTATTAAACTCAATGTTTGTTTTTATGTTGATGAGGTCCAACTAATGTTAAACCAATGAAAAAAACTTTTGTAAAAAAATTAAAACACAATTTTATTCATTTTCTCAAAGAATTACCCCCACTTCCCCACCCCTAGTGGCATCCCTGCTCATCAGAGCAGAATAATAATCAATCCACCTAACAAAAATAATAATAAAAAAATACAAAAACAGAAAATTAGACTCAAATGAACAGTAAATCAGACATAGTTCATATCAATCATTTTATTTAATGATTTTTGTTTCAACTTGTTTTTATAAAATTAACAAAACCTGTCATTTTCTTCTACCATCTCTCCATTATTATTTTTTAAAAACTATAACATTTGAGAGTGAAGGAACCAGATCAAACTGATAAATAAAGAGTTCAAATGTGTGAGAATCAGACATTTGGATTAAAACCCAACATGTGAAGCAGCAGAAGGCAGATAAGTCCAACAAACATTGCTGGGAAAAAAAAAAGGAAACACAGGAACGTTGGGATTAGATGTGAGGTGGATGATCTTAGGGGACTCCAGTGTTAGGATCACGTTAAAACATACTGAGAGCTGCTGTGAAAGGACAGCACGGTCTTGGATTTCGTTTTTTATTTTGCTCAAGGCAGAAAAAAGAAAGTTGTAAATGGATTTCCTCTGAAGGCACATCGATATCTAACCCTCCAGCCTTTGAAACGTTACATCAAAGTGCTGAAAGAAAACAAAATAAAAAGGTGAAAATGTCATCCTAAATAGTGCACCGAGTCAATTTCCACTATTTGCTTCCAAGCTCATGGTCGGTTCGTGGTAATAAAAAATCAGCAGCAGCCCTCCCTGCGCAGCTCCACATCCCCTCACAGAAGCCTTCCACCACCCCCCCCCCCCCATGATGCTATCGATGCAGGAAATCACTCTCAACTACTACAACATCAAATCTAAGCTCAGTATCTGTAGAAGTGATGGAGTTGTAGCTGTTTGTGTTCATTAGCTCTGGTGGTCCTCCTGAATGAAACTGACCATGGATGTCTTGATTCAGGGGGTGGCAGCCCACGTTGGGCACATTTCGTTTGTCCCGTAGGTATCTTCTCATGCGACATCTAAATACCCTGCAAGGCCAATGATATCCCAGGATTCATTGCAAAGTCAGCAGATTAAATACAAAAACAAAGACGGCAAAGTTTATTCTTTTAAGGGCGTAGTTTGGAAATTCACGGACCAAAGAATTTGATTTGAAATTCAAGCTTTGCATCTTAGCTGATGAAATTTATGCTGAAATGAGACGTTAAACAAAGTAGCTAAAAATTTAATTAAAAGTACTGATACTGGAGCTAAACCGGAATTATTAATATTTATTTCTGTTTGCAGTAATACAGTGAATTTTAAAGTCGCACCTCCTGTGAAAAGATGTGTGAATACGTGTTCCAACTAAAGGCATATGATCTAACATAGATAATAATATTATATTAATAATAATTAAATATAGGTCATCCTAAGGCTGGACCATCTCATTAAACAGCTGTTGCAGCCTGTGTAGGGTGTGGCCTAGGTGGGCTGCAACCCCTGAATTGAAAGTCCCAAGTGAATCATCTGTACGTACGACTGATAGTTACTTTGGGAGTTTCATTAAAATTCATCCAGTGGTTCATGAAATACGTTGCGCGCGCGCGCACACACACACACATACATACATACACACACACACACACACACACACACACACACACACACACACA